TTGTGTTATAAACTCCTCGTACAGTTTTCAACTCCGACCTCGAAATTTTACAGAAAAAAATGCACACCTATAAGTGTGCGCCTGTTATTATGGAATTGTTTTAGTATTGTTTCCTTATATTTTCAATACACGAAAACAAGGTAGTATTAGATGAGCAAATATACAAAACTGGGCATTTAAGATGCACACACATTGAAGTTGTGAATCTGTTAATATAGAGTTGCTGTAGAGATTTTCCCTTTTTTTCAGACTTTGAACTTGAAGAAGATGTTGTATGACTGCTAATGAGACATCTTTGCAACAGAAACAAAAAGACGTAGACTATAGGTCTGCAACCATGAACAAAACCCATACCACATTTAGTAGTTTTTCATCAAAATTCTGAAAAGACCGTATCAGTTTTGTGTAATCAACTCCTATAGTCTTGAATAATCACAGAAAGTTTACACACCTTTTGGCGATGGATGTTTCTGATTAAATATCGAAATGTTGGTATATCGAATACAGCAAAGTCGGTACTTTCGTACATTTTGTCAACCGGTATTCAATTACAATAGTTGAATAGTTAACGGCAATGATGTGTTGTCATGTGATCAAATCTTGTCCAATTACGAGAGGAGCCCAAAGCAACCCCTCATGGTTAATCAAAAAATAAAACACTGATGAGGAAAGGTACAAACAATATACAGAGGTTTAAAACATTAATAATTTGAAATGATTCGATGTTTCAAAAGTTTTCGATGAGCCAGAAGATTATATCTACCAAAGCTTAGTAAATTTTTCATTAAGAAAATTTAGAAAGGTTATAAGGGGTTAGAAAGGTAATTATTATCATTGTCATGGTTCGGGATTATAAATCACAACAAAACCAAGCAAATATTTAATCTGAAGATAAATTCGTTTCAATAAAGCTTCCATCCACTAAATGTTGTACGATGAAAGTCTGGATGGCTTATTATTGCCTTTCCACCGAGGTAAACCGGATGAGTCCGAATAAACACAACTTCACCCTGATTGACTTCAACGACCACTAAACCTGTTTTTGTCCTATAATAAGTACCTCCATGCGCATCGCACATGGCGGCTCCAACCACTGCAGCGTTGACAACCACTTGTGTAATACGGTCTCCTTGACTATCGCAAACAACTGTCCATGTAAACACATAAATTCCGTTTTCAGGAACTGTAAACATTCCGGAAAATTTATTGTAATGTCCACCAACATTTGTCTGGACACTGCGGAAAACTAATATATGATTCAGGGCGGGAAGTGGTTCATTTGAAGGCATGTAGGCATAAAAGGCAATGTTTCCTACAGTTTGACTGCCTGTTGAATATAAAGATAAAGTTAAATTAAATGTACAATATCAGCCGCACTTAAATTAGTGGAATATGATGTTAAGATTAGACTATAAGGTTATGTAAGTTAAAACATAATATTCCAAACTTACTATTACTACTTATAACATCCAATCTGAACGACAATATGAATTACTTGTGGCAATGGTTGGCTGCAAAAAATGTAGGAGTTAGGTCACATTTATTTTGTACAATTTGTAATATTGGAGTGTGTTTGTTTTGATTTATTTTAGCACCAGGAATGGCAAAGACTACCACAGCAACCAATTGAACGTTTGATTAATGGAATGAGAAGACGGTTAACATCGTTGATTTGTGGGAATAGCGGTTTCAATCGGTATTATCATTGTTGTGTTTGTTGTGTTTGTAGCTATAACGAGTTGGTTGACCGTAATGGAATACCTGTTTCACAGATTACGACGGATATGTTCCAATTGTCGTTACCACAATCCTATCCTCTAATCTGGAATGTGAGCTACCGAATTAGACTTGTCACCGGGTTTGTACTTACATAAGCAACAAGACGGGTGCACCATGTAGAGCAGGATCTGCTTATCCTTTCGAAGCTACTGTGATCACCTCCGGTTTTTGGTGGGGTTCGTGTTGCTCAGTCTTAAGTTTTCTATGTTGTGTTTTCTGTACTGTTGTTTGTCTTTTGGTCGTTTTCTTTTTTTTCATGGTGTGTCAGTTATTTTCGACTTGTGAGAAACAAACAAACAAAGGTAATTGTGCTATTGAACAATCTACTTGTAAGCAGCCAAAGTTAAACGTTGTCCATTTTTAGTACCTTAGACACATCCTCTTGTTTGACAAACATTGTACTTAAACAAATTTGTTATTTCCTTCAACCTTTTATTTACTATATGCCTATGGTCTTTTCAATAACATAATTGCATTATTTATATACTTTTGGAGCCATACACTATATAATCTGTTACAATATTTAGGTTTGTGCGATACGTTTTTTATAGGTGCTTAGATAATGCCCTTTCGAATTCACAGAATAATTCAAAGTTTGGTGACTATGTTGATTTCAACGAACTTGTAATAAAGGATACCACAGATACAGTAAAGACTGCTAACTATATTGACTTTCACTTTAATTTTAAGAAATTGACCTTGGTGGTATGTTGAGAACTACGACAAAAGGGCTTATTTCAATTTTTGCCAATGTTAAATTTCTATTTCGGTGTAGTAACATTTCAGCAGCGGTTGCTCATGGTGTCTGTATCTCCCAATCAATATGATATTTCAAGGCTTGCATTTCCTATCATTATTTGCTTGATAGAGGGTCGCTGCAATTAAGCTATTGAACCAAGGGTTCCAAATGTAAAGGTGAAGTTATCCATTCGAAAGTTTAACGGTCGCCATCATCATTTGTTTTACCGTTATAGAATATCCGTGTCCAAATTCCGTGCTCTTTTCGTCGATTGTGAAATCTTCCAATTGTTTTCCTACAATGAGTAACATTGCGGGCATGCCTCTGGTGAAGCAGGAAGTGCTAGCCCTCCTAGAGCACATGCATGCGCCCCATCTTAATTTTTTTGTGAATTTATTTATTTGACTGTTGTATGTCATTTTGTTGTTTTTCCTTTTCATGTTGGTGTAGTTTGTTTTATTGGAATAACGGGTTTTGATTGCCTATTGGTATATTCTTCCTCTTTTTACACTATATTTTGAATAAGCAAGAAAACCTTGGCAATAGACCCTTTGGGTACACCTGTTAAAAAAAACAATCTTGTCAGAGAACATATGACAAACTTACCACTTATACGTCGCTGCGGTTGACGAATAGGAACAGTAAGACCATCCAATGACTGTGAAACCGAAACATTATCTGTTCTGTTATTTGTTACACCAACGAATGTTTTCCTACATGCACAATCTTCTGATTCCAAGATGGCAATTCTGTTTTCAAGCTTCTTAATGACATGGATCTGATGGTCAATAGTATCTGATAACTGTTTGTTGACTTTCTTAAGTTCTGATTGTTGTCGTTGAATTTCAGTGAAAATGGTTTCTACGTGTTTCCATTTTTCACTGTCACTTAAAATTGCGCCTGCTTGGAGAATAAAACACAGGAAAAGACTGCAGACTAGTGGAAGTCTCATAATGACGATATTGTTCTAGACTTACAAGGTCAGTGATAAGGAATTTCATTCTTATCAAGTATCTGATGTATAAATTTTATTTAAATAAATTCGAATTATATAAGACAGATTTAAGCATCATAGTTTCCGTTGTACTGCTAAATGTGCTTCCTCTGCTGATCTCTCCGCTAACCGAGAAATAAGTTATCTTTTGAATATGAAATGTATATAATTAAGTATCAAAGTTACATGCAGTTAACTAAAAGAGTATATTTGGTGCTATACAGGGAATGAGAGACGAAAAATGGAAATTGAAATCCTTTAAAAACCGAGAGAAGAACATTCAGTCGGAAAGAAATGAAGAATTTCTAAACGAAAAGAAATTCTGATGATTTTAACTTTCTATGTTACAGTAAACTTCATTTATAGGCAGATTAGAATTTTGTTTTCTGTATAATATTTCTAGACTAGTATTTTTTTACTCTGTATAATATTATGTGGACTATTATTGCTATTTTGTGTGTACATTGTGTCATTGTGTGGACTATTATTTTTTATAATGTTGTTTTCCCTTTTCCGACTTATGAACTTTTATCGAATTGAAAAGTTGTTTATTTCTGTTCTATGCCATTATTGCAATTAGGCTGTAATCAGTAATTTCTCGTTATACAATTGGCACATCAATCAGTCCTAATAGAAAAATTTGTAATTCATGTTGCAAATTCAAAAAATTGATGGAAAAGAAATCTCGAAATGGAGAGGGGACACAAGTCTTTAATCGAATTTTTATTCGTAGTTATTTTTAATTTTCCGGAAAAAAAGTAAGTGGGGCGGTGGAGTCCAGCAACCGGAACCCTTCCGCTAATCCGCCAATGCTTGATCCTGTTCCAAAATCTTTTTTACCTACAATTTTTACTGTTTCATCAATAAACAGTTAAATGATACTGTCAATTTACTATATTGTTTTACTCATTTATAGTCTCATAGGGGTGCGATGAATGATTATTTTGTGGTGAAGGAAACTTTTAATCAGATTTTTTTAACCTGCAAAAATGTGCCTCCTTCTCTACCGAATAGTGATATATTTGTCTCGCCTGCGACGATAATGGCGAAGGAAAGACCGAATCCAGCGTCGGCCCCGTCGACAATCGGTAAAGTTTGTGATTAGGTTACATAGACATATCTCTGGGTTAAAATTAGTCTAAGTGTACAGGAATGGAGATAAACACTTGAGTTGAATTTTACTTAAATTCTATACAAAACTTAGATATATCATATTCGATTAATAAGATATATGGAACTTTTTTCATTTTTTTTTTTTTTTTTTTTTTGTAATCGGAATACAGTTAAGAAACGGTTAACCAGGAAGAAAGTTATATTGTTGAATTTAGAGACAGAAATAAGTTATATATACCTTTCAACATAGACTATAAACCCATTTCCTTATTCCTCATTTGAATGTGGAAATTAAAGATCGGACATTTTTGTAAGTGAGCAGCTTAAGAAACACTTAAACATCTAGTTTAGGGCAATTTATTAAGTCGGTCATTTAGTTTACCTTTTGAATATCATACAACTAAAACTAAAATAGAAAATCGATGGAAAGTAATACTTTGATAGGTTCACATGTGCATTTCTATATTTGGAATATGATCATTGTAATACCTGTGAAATTTTATTGCTATTTCCTTGTATGTGTACATACCGTCTTTTCAATCGGGAATTTTGATTAATCGGAGGATGTCATACACATTGGTTTTGGTATGTGTTATGTAATATGGTAAGATATTAAATCTTGTTTTAAATTTAAGCACGACGTAAAACTCACTTTCTTAAAAGATGGATAAAATTTTGATATTGCGAGAAAATGGAACTAACGGTGATCTATTTATCGCCTTCAAACTTAAGGTGTTGTGAAACGTGTATATCAGTTGTTTATACAAATTACGCAAATTATTATTTGACAAAAATATCATGTAATTTTTACTCTAGAATATGAAATATCCGCCAGGACGCCTTGATGGTTTCGTAGATCGGTGTGCTCCCTTGATGGTCGGACCAAAATCAGGCTTAAAATTGACTTTTGCCGCTTTTCCGGCAAGCAGAAAGAGCAAAGGTTCGTTGACTTGAAGTCAGAATAATCTGACCAGGAATGATGGCATACATTGTAAAAAGTCATGTTCCAAGTTTCGGTCTAGTGATAAATGGTTCATATTAATTTCGTATTATATGTTATCATTCTGAATATGCAATTGATATTTGCCGCTGAACATCCATTAGCTAATCAAGTGTTCTTAGATTTTCCATTTATATGAAGCAATAGTCTATGCGCACAACATAATTTTGTTGATGTCGGTTGATAAATTCATGAATGCTAATCGTCTAGTGGCTAATATTTCACGAGTGATTACGGCGATAGCATAATAATGAGAAATCAATATAATCCTGATTTGTACTAGACCAACAGACTTAGCCGTTATGCTAACTCATAAACTTTAAAAGGAACAGTCTACGTGAAGACATGTTTGTTCAACCCCATTAGAAAATGTTCGTTTGCTCGTCCTCCTAATTGTCATGTATTTGACCCGTACTCAAAGCACGTTCTCGAAAGAAGACCACCAATAGTTTTTTTCGTTTGTTTTGTTGTTTTTTTTTTTGTTTCTTTTTTGGAAGAGAGGGGTGTCAGTTTTTTAATGTTGTTTAGTTAAATTGAGGAAATATGAAATTAAACATTTATCCGAATGAGGTAAGTCTATCTTTAGTTATGATTGAAAAGTAAAGTATTGATTTAATATTAGTCAATATTGTACTTAAAACGATGTTTTAAGCAAATATAGGAGTTATACTATGAGGTAAAAGGTCTAATTGTTTTCATATAAAGCAGTACAAACAACTCCAAAGATGGTCTGTAAAAATCAGTTGAAATAAATTTTGATCGTTTTGATTGACATTGAATTAAATCGTATTTTACAATGTATTTTGAAATCGATGACATTGTCGCTAAAAATATTTTTTATTAATATATAATTATGTAAGGTATTAGATGTATAACATGTATTCGCGATTTATCCCGCCTTATTTGGTAGTCTACATGGATAGTAGAATAAGATTTAGTGATACGTCGGTGAGACAGCAGCCCAACGACATAAAACACCAAAAGACACTTAGAGGCCAAATACGGTTTTACAATATGAGGGTTCTGGGTGGGGTCTACAGAATAGAGAATACTGGACGACAAAAAGTGCAGAATAAAGGGAGACAAATAGGCAAAAGAATAAAAAAATGAAGGACCCCATCCAGACCCTACAATAATCGCCTCGCGTCTAGAAAAGCTGTGAATAAATGTAACAGAATCTATCAAAGATCTGCCATTTACATCAAATTCCATAAAAGGTTTTTTTTAAACACAAAAAATAACAGCATTAAAATTTTAGACAAAAGACAAACACTCAGGCTGGCAAGTTTCTGCCTAAGGACAGGCACATGAGCATGTGGCGGGGTTCATTAAGGGCATACGATACAGTTACAGTAGAGGAAAGACGTTGCTAACGTAAAATATTATTTTTCTAACTGATATATCGGGAAAAGATGTATTTTCGACTGATTTTAATCATTCAGACTGATTTAACTTGAAAACGCGTTCATGGACCCCTCTTTTTGAAAATGACATTTGGCTTGATTATGTATGAAGATTATTTGTGCCAATTTTCATGAACAAATCACCGATGAAACTTTTTTAAATTAGATAAATATACAGCAAAAAATGCCGTTCTTTGACTAAACCATGAAAATGTGATAAAAAAGAATAATTTCCAAAGAATTGTTTCACAAATTCAAAGCACACTTATAAAAAGCAGATATCCCAGATGCTTGTGTTTATCTTTTAAAACAAGAAAGTTCGGTATGTCTTTCTAAATGATAGAAATGTCCAAGAAACTGAAATTTCCAGTAAATGTCTAAAATTTCGACCCCATTTATCTCTAAAAGTAGCACATGGAGGTATATTTTTATCACATATCTGAATTGACTAGGTGAAAAGTAGCTTGTATGAAAACATTCGTGAATAAATCACCGTGTAATCAAAACTATATCGTTTGTATATCCTTAGACATCGCTAAAGTCCCCATTTTAATCTCGGTTCGTGGAATAAAAAAGGGGTATACATAAAAGGACGATCAGTAAAAATAGTATTTAAAAAACCACTGAACTCTAATATACCGGTATAACAGATTGCCAAAGCACAAGTACAGGCACAACGAATGATCGAATATAATGAAAGCAAGCGCAAACAACAGACTTTTTAATGTGCATTATCATCAATTCCTATCCCCATTTATGATCATTTAAAACGAAGAAAAATGAAAGTTAGTTTGTATATGTTAAGAGTTAAATTCAACGTAAATTTGTTTTTTCGAGTTTTTCAACCAATAAATAAGATATGACACTTAGATCAAGAATGAAGAAACCACAGATTTTTTGTCACTTGGTATATATATTATATAACAATCTAAAAAATCAAGTGCACATCATGTCATTGTTACACGTTGTTTTAAATGAATGTATCTTAATATTACATAACCTTCTCTAATCAGGGATTGTTATCATTTAAGAACATTAATTTATCATGTCCGGGATCTTGACATTTTATTGTGAAATTTTATCATGAACTTTTTAAGAGACACCAAATATATAGATTTACGGAAGTTAATGTCTAATTTTTAGAACCAAAATAACACTTATTTGTAACATGAATGGTAATTTTTCCTTTGATCATCGAGTGAGTTAACTTCGGTTATTTTTAGAGGAGTGCGTCAACTGAATGATTTTTTAGTCAGTATTGCACTCTCCAGTCCCGCCGAGTGTCGCTTGTCATAGGAAAAGCAAAGAATGAAAGGAGCTTAGACCAGTGCTCTAACTTCCATCTCAAGTTTGTTATTTCACTGTCTAGCTCCGCCTCTTTGGCCACGTGAAGTAAATAAAAAAAAAATCGGGGGAAAAGAGGGGGGGCTTACCCTAAAACTAGCCAAACTTGCAAACCTAACCCTCAATTAAAAATGGTTTCCTGTACTTGAAACAAATGAATGCCCGAGGAAAGCTACAAAAAGGAATAACGTGGTCTATAATAAAAGAGGCGATATTGATAAATTGGTGGATACTTGTTTCCCATCTATTAATCGATCATTTTCATGGTGTTGGGAAAGACAGAATACCTTCACAATACGTTTTAAAAGTTTTCCTTCGTTTACCTCTACTGAAACTACATGTCCTGATTTTTTTGGAAAGCAGGCAGCACGGTTTTCATCTAACAATATTTTGCATCTATCCCCCAAGAATTTTCGCCCAGGGAGGGGATGACCTTCAATAACGCATAAATCGCTCTGTGGTCTTTAAACCATGATGAAAGTATCACGGCAACAATTCATTTACATGTACAGATCTATCATTAAATCAAATCCAACTAAAATGTCCAATCCATGAGATCATTTTCTGAAAACTAGAGATATTTTGTCATAGAAAGCGCCCCTATTTGATTGACATATTTAATTCATGAAAAGTATAGTTAAGTTTAACCCCTGACATGTGTCATCGCCCATTAATGTTACAAATCATATATAGCCACGTCTTACTCATTAACATATTTAATCCACTCAAAGCTACGCTTTTCGTGAATTAAATACGTTAATTCGCAAAAGGCGTACTATATATATAATGTAGACTAACGGAAATAAAAAAACTTTTTTAATTTTCATTACAGGCACTTCATGAGCAAACTATTTGGTGTGAATAGTTTTCATCTTCCTCTTCCCATCACCGTTATACTTCCATCAATGTTTGCATCAACAGTAGGATAAATATGTGAATTAAAAACATTAATTTCTGGAATACTTTAAAGTGGAGCGATGAATTCCCCCAAAGAGGGAACACCACTAATACAAGTGGCTCAAAACGATGAGGGAAGTTCATTGTCATGGATTTTCAAATGGACTCCAGTGGAATTGCTAGTTGTTTTACATACAGTAGCCATTGTGGCACTGGAGCCAGTACAAACCTTCTACGTCATCGATGAGACGGCAAAAAGGCATGGTCAGAAACACATTGTACGGCATGCCGAAAAGTCCTGTTACCCTGGCAACACCACGAACACGTCTCACATTAACGATACAAGTAGTATTATTCAAAAGGAGTCTGCTGAAATAATCATGTATTTAGGATTCTGTTCAACATTTGCTTCTGTCATTCCAATATTCTTGCTGGGTTATCTCTCAGATTTCTTTGGGCGGAGAATAATGTATATCATATCTATTTGTGGAACTATGTTTAAGGAATTAATCTTACTGTTAACAGTTTTACTACGGCTACCCATCTGGGTATTGTATATAGGGCAGATAGGTTTTGCCTTTACCGGTACGTTTAGTGGGTCAATGGTTCAAATTTTTGCAACTGTTTCTGACATAACTCCACCAGGAAAGAAGCGGGCTTTCCGCATAACTGTAGTCCAGGCAAGCGGAATGTTGACAGCGGCGATAACACATTATGGTATGGGATACTGGATATGGACTGAACGATTCAGTGAACCAATTACTATGGCTTTAGCTATATCTTTGTTGACGATATTTTTAAGCGTATTTATTCTTCGAAAATCTAGTGAACACGATTCTCAACCAAAGAGTCTTCTTGGGCCATTGAAACTGTATATTAGAGACACACCACAGCACAGAAGACGAAAACTATTACTGTGTTTGCTTGTGTTTTTGTTGTCATCGTCGTGTCTACAAGGAAAACTTGAATACCAGACTTTGTTCCTGATGCACAAGCCAATATGTTGGAATGAGTTTAACATACAAGTTATGCATGCTATTCAAACGACGGTTAATACGATATGTGTTGTCGGCATTGTTCGAGTGTTCCTTAAATTTACCGAAGATGTTATTGTCCTCTTAATTGCTTCAATATCTGGTATTGCATCTATGTTGATATTGAGTTTTTCTGTGAACAGTTGGATGGTTTATTTACGTAAGTATATGTAAGCTTATGAGTAATGCATCATACTTCACAGGGATACGGTATGATTGAAAAAACTATCCACCAGAGTTTAAATTAATTGGTAGTAAGCAATAATAGGCCACCGTAAGGCCTTCAATAATGAGAAAACTCCATACCGTATAGTCGGTTTTAAAAGGCCCCAACTTAGGATATGTGAAATAATTCAGATGAGAAAAACTAACGGCCTCGTTTATAACAAAACAATTTACGAAAAACAAAAATGACAGACATGAACCAACGACAACCATTGAACTAAAGGCTCCTTACTTGTACGGGCACGTAAAGAATGTGGCGAGGTAAAGCTTGTTTGTAAGCTCCCAATCCTCCCCTAACCTGAGACAGTGGTGTAACAGCTGATGATTTCTTTCTTTCTTTTGCAGATGTTATTTTTTTTTCTTTTATATGTGTTATTTTGGGTGTTTTCTTTCTTTTATAGATGTTATTTTTGGTTTTGTTTCCATTTCCGTGTTTCCAGTCATGCGTGCCATGATGTCAAGAGTAGTTGATCCTCAAGAGCAAGGTATGATTAAAATAACTTGGCAATCATTGTATACCTGCACTCTATATTGCGGGGCATAAAATATGTCAATGATACAGCAACCAAACAACAAAGTAAAGCCATTGATTTTCTGGTCCATAAACAATTATGTCTACCAATTGGAATATACCAGTTGATAGACGTGTCTGTGTATGTTTTCGGTATTAGAAGTTATAGGATATGTTTCCATAACTAACACGAATTATTGTTGTTTCTAGTTGTTTCGCAGTGGTCGAGATCCCAACAGACAACGACTGAGAGGAGGGAGACACAAGACCATTACTAGTTTTACATGAAATAGGATTGTAAAGGAATAATTAAACGTGTTTTGGTGCTAAAATACTCTTCCTCACCTTGTGTACTACCAAAAGGGCACCTTTCAGGCCTAAATACTACATTGTGATCATCGTGAAATCGACGATTTCTATCTCACATTCGCTTATTTTGTAAAAATACAACACCCTAAAAAAAACATTTAGTTTAAGAAAGGTTAACCAATGAACGACTTGCTTGTATGCTGGATCTAAAAGAGAGGCGAAGGACACCAAAAGGACATTCAAATATGTGAAACTTAGCAGGAACAGCATCATGGTTTCTTTGTCAATTCTCCAGAATATCACCGAGTAATTAGAGCACGTACATCTTTTGAGTTTGTGTATTTTTCTTAACTTTCGAATTTCAAATAATTAATTTTCAGTATCACCGATTATGGAGAGAAATGAAATTTCAAAGTGTACATATAATGCATCAAAATAGTTCTGATGTCATGTTTTTTTATATTATACACATGAAATCCTTATACACATGAAATCCTATCGTTTGTAATGATTTTTGTATTTTAGGATTCTTGTTTGCCAGTATTGCTGGTTTAGATGAGTTACAAGCCGCATTATCCGGAGTGGTGTATGGTAAAATGTATTCGGGGTCTGTTGATTGGTTTCCTGGATTCATATTTCTCATAATGGCGGTAATGTTTTCCGTAGCACTTGCTGGTTCTATGTAAGTACTAATTTAATCTAAAAATTTCAAGATAAAGATTGATCTGGTGTCTTCCGTCATCTTAGATTGTAAAATAGTAGAAAACATTCGGTCTAGGTCTTTATTTAAATATATTTTTCATCTAAATTAAAAGGTTTAGACTGTCCTTTGTTTAACATATTGGTTCGTTCTTGGTTTATCCATTACTTTTTTAACGGCTGTAAGAGTTAAATGTCCAGCGTTTCTTTTTTCTTTGACAGTTACATAATCATTATAAACATTTTTTTCTTTCTTTTGCAGAATACTTTATAAATGGCTGAAAGGAGATAATTCCGACGGAATCTGAAATAATGGTAGAATTATGTTGAAAAATGGCAATTTATTATCCTAATCGTTTTTTTGTACCCTATGCTTTTGCAACATTTTATCATTGTTTATTTGTTTTAACATGAATCTTTCTTTATTGTGTGGGTTTTTTTCCATGAGCTTTTGCAACATTTTGTCATTGTTTATTAGTTTTAACAAGAATCTTTTTTATGTGTATTTTTCATATGTTTTTGTAACATTTTGTCATTGTTTATTAGTTTTAACAAGAATGTTTCTTTTAATTAAAGATTAAAATAATTCAAGAAATAATGTGTGGAATAATACCGGCCGCATATGGTAAATGTTTTGCTCATTGTTGAAGGTTGTACGGTTACCTTTAGATGCTAATACCAACGTTGTTTGTACAATCGAGTTGTCTCATAGGCGATCATTCCGCAACTCCTTAAAACTAAATAATTCAAAAAATCTTAAGTGGAATAAAATCGGCCGCAGGGAAAAACAGTAAACGAGGTCTGGCAAGACGATACAAACCGCCGGCATTTTTAATATTGGCAAGTAGGTGTTCTTCTGGTAACAGAAGTAACAAAAGTTCCTCTAAGGAAAATCAGAGTGAACGAGGAGCACGACCCCACACTGACGCTAGGCCATAACTTGAATAACGCTTCCTCGGTACTCGGAGGATAAAATTCAAAACTGGTAACAGTGATGAACCGGCCGCTCTGGTAAACAAGAGAAAGCCGTTTATAAAAAACACAACTTCCCTGTGGTACCACAGGAGAATATTTTAACAAATGGTCTAACGTAGAATTATAGGGTCATGACCCCCCTGTCATCTTGCCAGATCCCGCCTCTGCACTAATACTGCGACAACTGTTTTATTAAAGATAATACTAAAAAACAATGAAAAATATCAAAATGCATTAAAAAGAAATCCTTTTATGGAAACGCACACATCTATATGTTTATAGAGTTGAATTCTAGATATTAAAGTTTTCTCCTTTCTTAGTAAACGTCCACCATCAAGACATCAGCAGATTATAAGATGCGTAAAAACTAGCACTGTCTGTTTGAAATCAGTATCAAGTATTTATATAAAAATGTTCCATCCTCAATTTAAAAGCATTCGTAAAAACGTGAAATTGCAGTAACAGTTCACGATATAACTGGACACAACCACTGCAATATTATGTTATTCTAGACGAGTCGAAAAGTTCATCCTCTACAATAATTGCCATACTCCATTTAGTTCCGAAAATCAATTGTCTCCAGCTTGATCCGTTTCCGGCCTTCCTAAACTCACTAGGCATATACCTGAAAAACATTAAAAAACAACAGCAGAAAAAATAATCCAAAATAGGAGATTGTCGGGGTAGGTGGGTGGGATTGAACAAGCTTCCCGTTCAAACGTTAGAAAATTTGGAAGTGACGTCACAATATGCTAAATGCACGTGACAGACACGGTCAAAGTTCAGAATGCAAAGATAAAAGGGGGGACTCGAGAATAAATACGGAATTATAACTTTTATTAAACCTGTATTATCAGTAAACCGATAAACATTATTATGTGTGCTTTTCATATGTTTTTGTAACATTTTGTAATTGTTTATTAGTTTTAACAAGAACCTTTTTTATGTTTGTTTTTCATATGCTTTTGCAACATTTTGTCATTGTTTATTAGTTTTAAGATGAATCTTTTGTTATATGTTTTTCATTTGCTTTTACAACATTTTGTCATTGTTTATTAGTTTTAACATGAATCTTTTGTTATATGTTTTTCATTTGCTTTTACAACATTTTGTCATTGTTTATTAGTTTTAACAAGAATCTTTTTTATGTTTGTTTTTCATATGCTTTTGCAACATTTTGTCATTGTTTATTAGTTTTAAGATGAATCTTTTGTTAAATATTTTTCCTTTGCTTTTGTAACATTTTGTCATTGTTTATTAGTTTTAACAAGAACCTTTTTTATGTGTGTTTTTCATATGCTTTTGTAACATTTTTGTTTATTAGTTTTAACAAAAATATTTCTTTTGTGTGTGTTTTTCATATGTTTTTGTAACATTTTGTCATTGTTTATTAGTTTTAACAAGAGTTAACGTGTTTTTATGTATGTTTTTTATATACTTTTGTAACATTTTGTCATTGTGTACAAGTCATGGTAGGAAGTAGACCTAACTATATATGTGGCTTCGTTTATTCGAGATGCGATATTTTAGAATAAAAAATTCTTATTTTAACTCAGCCCAATCAAACCATATTCCGCCGAAATATTCTACACATTCAGAGACTCGATCAACATCATCGCAAACGATTTTAAATTATTCAGTAAAAGACATCCTCCTTACATCGGAAAGAGTAGTTAAACGATCGTGTATTAGCTTCTTTTCATTCTTCTTCAGAAAGAAGTAGACAAGAAGAAAGGCACAGATGGTCGCTATAGTAATGAAGGCTGTCTGCTGAAAAGCACCCCGAACCAAAATGGAAAAAAAAAATGAAAACAACTCTTTATAAATTTCATGCTTTCCGAAACTCTTTTCTGGATTTACCTTCATCAGGAACGCTCAAAGACAAATATTTGAATGCCAAGGATTTATAAGATCCGCAACATTTGAAGAGCTATATTTATGATCAAAAGGACATACAAAACAGCCAAAATCCATTTAAGATCAACTTTGCCTGAGGGAGTTGTAACCTTAGTTTCTTGATAATTTCAAAATTTATAAATGCACAATTTTAGAAAGGTTTGTTATAGATCGTGTCAGATCCGAAGTTCGAACTACTGAGCTGATGTTTCCCTCGGGGACTGATAGCCCTCCAACAGTGGTATCGTCCCAGTGCTGTAAAAAATGAAAACAGCACGAATTTCATGCGTCCAAAGTGCTTTTCTAGATTTACCTTCATCGGGAACGCCCAAATATTTGAAAGCCAACTAAGGGTGTACAAGAACCGAAACAGATGATCTATGTTTTCAATCAAAATGTCATGCATCTTCATATGTCAGATTATGAGGACCTTTTCTTAGAATCGAAGTTTTTTTTTCACAAAATATTGCTAGCTCCTCCCTTGAACAATACATTTGAATCTGCTGTGGTCAATCGTTCTATGATACAAAGTTGGACTAATTATTTTAATATGTACAAGTTTAGATTAAAGAATACTAAAGTCTTGTATTTAGGGTGGAGAAGATAAATGTTTAATACTATTTCTTAAAGGGGGGACTTTAATTGCATCTTCTTTAACAGATTTTTGAAATTTTGTTAAATCCAAATTTGATTCACAACACCCCAGATTCTTAAGCCTGGTTTTGATTAATGGAGGCATAAAATCTTAAAATTTTTGGAAGAGATACAGCAATAAAACATTGTGTGTAATTTTGGTGTCCAGAAGAGTGAAGGAAGACCAGTTCTGAAACTTTGGTTGAAATTCTAAAAGATCAAAAACATACATCTGTAGTAATTGTAGTTCAGATATATTTTTGGTGTCCAAGTGAATTATCAATACCTAATTTCTTTTTTATCAAGCAATTAAGTAGTATACAATGCGATTCATACACAAATACACTTTTGCTTTGGTCTTTTTCTGCGGGGACGAGAACAACGTTCTTGTCATGGAGGTAAGACAGGTGTCCAACAATACAACGTTTAAAAGTTGGCACATTTTCGTCATTGAGTATAAAAATCATAAGATACTGAGTTTATTTTACGTACCTTAGGTGCATTTCGAACAGTTAGACAACCGAATCTTGTTATCTGTGATACATAAGCGACAGAAATAGTCTGAAGTAGTTAACAATAAAAAAATTGGGAGTCCTATTCTTCGACAATTTGATAAATATATTATATGATTTAGTGCTTCACATATTGCACAGATCCTTGTCTATTGCTGACTTCTGTATATTGCCCTCTAGGTAGATGTTTTGTGATTATTTTTGTCGTTGAATTGTTGTGTCACTGCCGTATCTAAGAGTCTAAGCTGAAAGTACCTGTTATACCGGGTTTTGTAATTACTACTAGCGTTAAGCGAATGATTAACTTTTACAAAATACTGATGTATACAGGCAATTAATCCCGTTATTATTATGAAATGTAAATCGTCAATTATTGAAGACCGTATGGTGACCTCTATATGTATTTTTCTGTTGCATGTCTTAGTGACAATGACGTATGTATCAGCTTTCATTTTAATCATGTTCTGGTATTTCAAATATGGGTGATAAAATGCAAAAGTGATTGCGCAATTCAAATCGCTTCAAAATCCTATCTACAAAAATGGTGTCTTACCTTGAAAATCCCTTTTGTTTATTTTATCTAAGAATATCAAAATAATGAAAAATATGGTACGATTGCCAATGAGACAAGTATACACCAGAGTCAAACGGAAAGGGATATGCAAACTTATAGAGTACACTACGGCCTTCAACAATAAGCGAAACCCCTATAGTTAGCTCTACAGGTCCCAGCATGACAAAGCATGAAACAATTCGAAAGAGAAAACCAACGATTTATGATAAAAGCAACAAACGAAAAACAAATAACTTTGACTGCAACCAACGATAACCAATAAGTTACAAGCCCCAGTTTTGAAAACAGCTTGCACAGAATATGGCGGGGTTATTAAAAATGCTTCTGCTCGCTTAACCACACCCCCCCCCCCCCCCCCAAACAAAACTCAAAAACATCTGGGATAGTTGTGTAAGAGCACAACTATAAAAATCAGTGAGAAAAGAGTTAATTCACCAGAACGCCACTTTTAAAGCACAAAAAACCATAGCAAAACAAAAGAAACACAAGATAACTAGGAGTAGTTCATTTTCCCAGACTGTCAAAACTTTTACAGATTTAACTGTTCTTAGAGTCTGTGAAAACATTTCTTCATACATTTGATTACGTTATGTCTTTGAAACAACGAGTGTTCCCAGTACATTATCTCTGTTGAGTTCATGCCTATGCAGAAAATTATCGTCAGTCTCCAGCGCAACCATGGTATTATTGTAATAAAAAAATGCTAATACCGTAAATGCACGAATATAAAATACAATTGTAAATAAGATAAAACAAGAAGTTAGTTACTGTAGTAATTTATGTATAATTGTGTGACGAGATTGCGTCCCTTCATTATTAGATACTTAGTCAGCCGTAAGCGGTTGAGCTAAGGAAGTACATCTTTAGCTCTTTAACACAGAGGTCCCGGGTTCGAGTCCCGGAGGAGACAGGCGATTTTGTAATGAAAATCATGCTCTCTGGTTACATTGTACAGAAATATAGTACAACAAACAACATTAAGACTACACACTTGGGGATTGGAGAGGTGTGTGACGCAAGACAGTGTTCCTCGTATACTTTCTAATTTTGTAAATTTACTACACTGGTTACATTCAAATTTTGCAGGCAATATTTCTTACTTTATTTGTGTTCCATTGGCAAAGCAAATACTACCAATTCGGCAATATTCACCAAGACTCAAATAGATATTAAATAAGACGTGCATTTTACTCCTTTTGTGGTAAAAACACAATTGACGAATATTCCGAGATCCCAGATTGTAATAAAAATATGGAATTACAGTAACCACCTCATCATTGAACTGCACTGGATAGGTTGATTGAAAGGCCATGCACCACCAATCAGTTAACGCAAATGTTGCCACATGATATCTAACGTTGAAACGTCATAAACCTCTCTGGCAACCTTGTATCAGATGAGAACGTTGCTACCTACTTGTATGCAGTATTTATGCTTCTGAAGATCTGAAATTGAATTTTACAGCTCTGGCGAAGATTGTAGGATTCTAACTAAGTGTGGTAAGACTATTTCTTTTTGTCTTAAGGGTAATACTTGCGGCAGTTAGGCAAATGCAATGCAAAATTAACGAAAACTCTTGGTGTATTTGATTTTTTTTAGAATTTTTTATCAAATTCTTGTTTCTCCTACCTTTATTTTACACAACTTTGAAACTTTTAACTTACATTTGTCTGACGCTAGTAGAATCTCTATATTATTCCGATCATTCAAATTGACAGCAAGGCTGCATAGTTAGAATAAGTGAACTATTTCAATAGTGGTTGCTTCAAAGAACCATTTACATAAAATAAACGTGTGAAAAGGTTCTTTTATTTCAAGAAAAAAATCTAAATAGAAGCAATTCCACCACTGCCTACAGTATCATTCATTTATTCGTTTATTTATTTTTTTTTTTTTTTTTGGCTGGAACGATGATTATTGAATGTAAAGTTGTGCTAGTGCATCATAAACGTGTTAAATAATTTAACAGTTAGTTGAAGGTAGTCTATTATATAGCAGAAGTATGCATAGAATTAAAATGTAATTAGTTAACACAAGTATGCAAAGATAGTACATGTTGACATTTAAACAACACTTTATAAACATCGTGCGTCCGAAGCGCCCTTCTGATTTACCTTCACCAGTAACGCTCAAACACGTTTTGAGATACATGACTATGTCACACGACCTTTGACGGCATAACGTCATAATCATGATATTTCTTTGGCAACGTCGCCAGTTTTTTAACTAAACTGCGGTAGTGTACACGCTTTTTGAAAATTTAAAACTTAGAAACCCATTTGCACAAGATTACGTTATCGAGACTTGATAAGTTTGTAGAGATATTGAGTGAACGAATAATTCGATGAATGAACCAAATAATGTGTAATTTGATCACACCAAAGAGAGAGAGAGAGAGAGAGAGAGAGAGAGAGAGAGAGAGATTAATTACAAATTAGGGAAAATAAAGAAAAAAAACTGATAAACCAGTTGTACTGTTATATTTCCCTTTCTTTTTTTCAGATTGTAAATGGAGACCGATAGAATCAGTATTGAACGGAATGTCCGTAGTTTAATGTTGTCGTTATTGCACGTTGCTTTTAGGTAGGTAATCACTACCATTACTTATTATTTTCTGGAATTTAAGAACTATTGAATATTTATAACTCCAATAAATTAAAAATGTCAGTAAAACTTATAATAACATTTCAAAACATTTTCTAATTAAAAAAGAATATCATTCAGTGTGCCTTTCTGCTTTTTTGGGGATGTCCTCTTCATAGTTTCGTGTATTTTCTTAAATGGGAAATCATTTTTCGTGAAAGGTGTTGCATTAATTCTGAATCAATCCTTGGTGTCATTTTCAGCGAAATAGAGGCAAATTTGTTGTCTGGTGCACAAAAAGTTAATTGTAAGGAGATGGTGATACCACAGAATATTATAGAAAGAGAAAAAGA